CATTCATGGCTCTCACATTCCATGTACCAATCACTAGGGTCTGCTTACAGCTGTTCCTCCTCTCTTGTGTTTCCATACTGTAAGCAGACCAGGTTCTCCTTACCAACTGGAAAACATTATTCTTACAAAGACAGTTTGCAGAAGATATGAAAGTAAGTAATTAAAACACCTTATCTCATACCAAGAAGCAAAACAATCAGTAATTTCTATGAGTACGAAAAAAATTCATATTGGAAACTCAGTCAGGTTTCAGTATTACACTGCTCTCCCCCAACGATGCATTACTCACTTTACATTCATTTTAACACTTATTGCCAAGATGCATCATACAGGATGTGAATACCTCTGTGGGGTGAAGAGAGTGTCCACATACAAAGAGGCCTGGGCAGACACCTTCCTTGTCCTGATCAAGCTCGGGTTCCCATTCTAGAGCCCCACAGCTCCTCGGCCTCACAACAACCTGCTGGTAGTGTGCTTTTTTCCTTTAATTAAAGAACTTTTAAGATAATTAAAATAAAAATATTTATAGAAAAAAATGCTGTCAACTGTACACTGTATTTTAATTTTTATTTGGAGAGGGATAGAAAGAATTTGTTTACAAAATGGTAAAGGAACAGTAAACTTTAGTCCTGTGGAAGGATGAAAGCAGAGAGCAAAGAAGGGATGACTGTTGGAGATTTCAGGCCGTTGGCACTGTGACGGCAGAAATTATCGAGATCTCTGATAGTTTTGAAATTCAGTGTGCCGTTTTCAGGCCATTGAGATACATTATCTAATTGGTATTGTGGCAATACTATATTGCAAAAGAATACAAATCTTTTGGGCTTAATGATGTCTTTCAATAAAAGTGTATAAAGGGAGCTTAGGCGGCACTCCACTGCAGTGTTGTGACAAGGGCAGGACTGGCTGTCTCCCATGATTGTGGAAGAGCTAAGCAGTGGGGGTTCCCAGAGAGAGGGAGAGAGACTAAAAGGCAACATGGCTTCCCTTATTTCCTTTTGTTTCATGAGGAAAAGGTCCATTCTCATCATGGGCATCCCCCAAATCAAGAGACTGGCCCAAGTGGCCGACAGATATCCTGTTCTGGCGCCAGAACTTTTTAGTGTCCAAGGGGAGCAGATTATCTGAGAGAGGAGAACCACCACCACTTACCCCAAATTGTTCTGGTGCTGTTCGAAAGGCCAGTCATGGCAAGAGGCAGAAAGTCTTGGAGAAGGGTTCCTCTTGGCAGTTCAAAGAGGGGCAGGCAGGAGGCAGATCAAGCCCATGGAGAAGTGGAAAAAAAAAATTAGGGCAATTCAGCACTCCCCAGGTGCCTTTAGGTTAGGATTGAGAGGGACAGGTTACACTGAAGACACATAAAAGCCATTTTCACAGAGTTTCCAGAAAAATTCAACATGAGATTATGGCAAAATCCCTCCCACTTACAATAGCAATAAGAGACTAAGTCATTTTTATCTCCTTTTAGTCCAGTGTAGATAGAGTGGGAGAGCTTTCTAGTTTCTATGGGTTAAGCTTGAAAGCAGATAGGGAGAAAAAGAGAGATAGAGACAGAGAGAGAGAAAAAGAGAGACAGGGCAAGTTGGGAATCAGGGTTTGTTGCCTCCTGGCAGGGGTCCCTTCTGGGTTTCAGCACTATGAATGTAAGGTAGTCGAGGAACGACAGAAGCCAGTTTAGACCTAGAAGGACAGTTTATTGAGTAGAAACTGCAGGGCTGGCTCTCAGGCAGAAGACCAAACCCCACTAAAAGTTACAGCCGGGTTTTACATTCTTGTACAACGAATTTTGGGTAGGGGATACTCACAGATGTTTCCTACAAGATAGAGAACTGGGCTGGGGGTGGGGTAGGGTAGTTTCTCATCTTTGATTAAGAAACATAGCTGCTGTTTCCTGTGATTGGATTCTTTCAGTAGCCATTCTGGGAGAGGAAGGAAAGGGCTTTAAGTCCTAGCAGTGTGGCTGTGAATACCAGGGGAGAACGAGGAGCTTCTCAAGGGCCTCACCCTTCAAAGTAGCCAGCTTCCTTGGCTATAAGAGAGAAGTGCTTCTTTCTCTAGTCACAGACGTTGGATGGATCCGTTTGTCCTTCTGAACCCTGTAAGGACTGCCTTCCTGTCTGTCATGTATTACAGGGAGCAAAGGCTAGGAGTTCATCTGAGCACAGAACCTGAGAAGTTTGAGTCTCCTAATTAAGGTTGTTCTACATTAGCCATGCAGAAAGCCCACAGAGGTATGAAGGTTTAAGGAGGAGCTGGATGATTTGTTGCTTATGGCGTGTGGATGTAAAGGGGGATGTAAGGGGAAAAGGGATGCAGATCATGGTCATATTCTAGGCCTCCTACAATTAGGATTGAAAACCAAAAAAAGGAAAAACATACGACATAATTTCATAACCTTTCAGCCTGTACTGGCTCATAAGAGGTCCTCTAGCAAGTTTTCAGAGGATATAAATGGCACAGATGATTGTCCATATTCTCCCTCAGAGAAGCTAGTGGATTCAAAGCTCCTACCTTTGGTTTGGCGGTGCAGCATCTTATCCAGAAGACCTTCAGAGCTCCCTCATCTGGAACTGCTACATGTAAAGAAGACCAGGGAGTAACCAGAACACAAGCATTTCCTCTCAGTTAAGACACATTTATTGAGATTCTAGCCAATAAGACAAGATGATCAAACATAGAGGGACTTCTTCCTATTAGAGAAACTTTACAGTGTCTTTTACCCAGAGCAAGAAAGTGGAGATTTTGGTGAAGAGGCATGGGGCAGTACCACTTAAATTTATATAGCTGGCAGTGCACTGGGCCACATTTTGGCATACCAGTGTCTCCCTAAGAACATAGAGAAGAAAAACTGAGTTAATTTCTCTGCTAGTCCTCTGTGCCGCCACTTTCTGGAGAGACTGCCTTGCATGATGTAAGAAGAGCATGGTTGCAGTCATCTCAGGAAACCCAGCTGTCAAATTCTGACCCGCGACATTATTTTTGTTTCATATTTAAGTTGTGACCATCTTCTTCCTCTAGTTTAAGACCCTTTCCCTTTAAGAAGCTGTGGAAACTTTTGTTCTATGCAACCATTAAAAAAAAGACAGGCAGTGTAAATAGAAGACAGTACATTAACCAGGTGGTTACAGCTCTTGAGTTATTTGAGGGGTTTTATATCTGCACATGAAGGAACAGGTTTGTGGTGTTATGTTGTTGTTGTTGTTTTCTGTTTTGTGTGCCCTACTGTGAGGCCAACATTACCACATCCATCTTATCCAAAGAAAATGTCCAAGTGAGTTCTTGTCAATCATTCCAGTTTGAAATGCTCATTGGAATTTCTGCCTATAAAGTTCATGAAACACCTTTGAATAGGTTCAAATCACAAACCACAAGTTAGTACCTGAATGGAAATTCTGCCCTAAGGATCTTTGGGGTGGGACAAGGAGCCACCGTTTCATCCTTTTGTGATGGACACTTTTCTGATTCACCTATGGTAAGCTCATAGAATGTGTCTTTTGACTGTATTCCCCTTTGTTAACCAGCAAAGTGGGTGAAAGCATCCCCCTATTGCTGGCAAAGAACTTCAGATTCCAGATCCTCCTGAAACATCCTTTTCCTTAGAGACAAGCCAGATTAATAGTATATGTCACCTTAAAGAAAGCCATCTTTTTCTTTTGATCCCCTGTTCACAATTCTGAGGTATTGTCATCATTCTCGAGGCAGAGCTTACGTTTGAAGTCCTGCTGCATGATGTGATCCACCTCATGCAGCTTGCTTGTTTTTTCATCCTCAGTGATCCATCCCCAGCCAGATACACTGCACGCCCACCCAGGCCTCACCTGGTCACTTTCTCCAGACAAGGGGAGGGGAGCAGGTCCACAGGTGTAGTGAGTTGGGCCTTTGTGTTCAGCTGATGAAGGAAACACTCACTAAGTCTTGGTCACTGAGAGCCTGCTGGCCTGCAGAGCCTGATGGGCTGCACTATATCCCTTCTCCTCTAAGGGCTTGGGATTAGTGAAGCAGCCAGAATGACAAAGGCAGGGGCCATTGTGGAAGGAGAAAGTTATTGGACAGGAGTTGGGGGAGAAGCAGTGGGTTGCCTCACCTGTAGTCACATGTTATTGCTAGAAGTCTCATTGTTATACATAGGGTGGTGGATGCTTTTTTTCACAGGAATTTTCTGCTGTGTCTTTTATTTCAAATCAATGTTCTGGACCCCCAGTATGACTTTTATGGAGCTGAACAGAGAGAAGAGAAAAGGTTCTCCCAAGACCTGCAGCCCTGGAGCCTCAGGAGCAGGTGACAGCTGAGTCAGGGTAGGACAGCTACTGAGGGGAAATGCTGGTGGGAGGAGGCCCTTTGGACCAGCGCTTGTTGTGCCTTTGGTTTCTCAACTGCATTGCATGTGATTGTGGAATTCTCTTTTGCCCTCATTTCATATATAATGGTTTGATCCACATATGCTCTCAACCTACATTGTCTGCCTGAAATAGCCGGTGTGGTCTGTTTCTGACCTGTCTCAACTATCTTTTCTACACCTCATCTTGAGCTCAAAGTGTTTTGCAGATGAGAACTGTTGGTCTGTGTAACACAGCTGAGGGAGCTTCCCTGAGAGGTATGTTTGCAGGGAGGAATCCTTGGAGGTTCAGCCCCTCACCTTCCCCAGCAGTGAGCTGCTGTTAGGACAAAATACTCTTGTAGAAGGAAACCACTGCATATCATCATGGCATCTGGACAAAACTTAACAGTTGCCATGTATGGACGTGAATGTGGCTTCGCTACATGACCCCTAGTTATCTCCTTTGAAAGAAAAAGATGAAGAATGGGATGACTGTTGTGTCCTGACAATTGAAGATTGGGTTAGCAAGGTAGATGCTTGATCAAGTTATTGTGAACTCTCATGAAGTAATTTCTTACTGGTAAGGTGACATGTCTTTATCTTCAGGTCTCAACAGACCTCCTTAAAACATGATAGTTCTGCTCTGGACATCACACATAAGGATGTAGGGGACAGATATTGTCTTCAAGATGAGAGAATGCCAATGAATCCTGGACAAGAATCTCTGCACTATTCTTTTGTTTCTACCTACTGCGGGGCCATTCAAGTTGTTTCTGTTTTCTAATAATATGTCCTTTTTTTAAAAATTAAAAAATAGTTTTGTTTTTTTCAGTCTCCTCCCAACCCTGATATCAGTCTCATTTTACAACAATGGCACTATGCAGCATTTGTCCTTTTGTGACTGAGATATTTCACTCAACATAATGTCCTCCAAGGTAACCCATTTTGAATAATATTTCATGAGAAAGATGGGTATAAATAATGTATACTGCATTGAAACAGATGAGGTAGAGAACTGTTTAAAAGGGTTGTGTGATTAGGTATTATTGTCATGATAGGAGACCAGAACGAAGGCTGCATAGTGGAATGTGCTTGAGGGGATGAATTGTACAACAATGGAAGAATTTTCTTTTTACGTTTCAAAGAGAAGAGCAAACAGGGAGGGAGGGATGGGGAGGGAGAAAAGTGAAACCAATGAATGAATAGAAATCCAAACTCTCTGTAAATTTATAATAATAATTAATAA